GGCCAATCTGTTATGGTTGGCGACGGCTGGACAAATAATCAGCCGCGCCCGTGCGCCGGACGGGCCGCCTCGAGACGGCGGCGGCGTCGCCCAGCCGCCGGCCAGCTCTGACGACCCGGGCCCGGTCAGCGCGACACGTCCCGGGGACGACCCCACGGCTGGAGCGCTGCTGGTCCCGCAGGCGCGGGCCCAGCCAGCCCCGCTCTGGGAGGGGTCGCCGGCTACGTTCCGCCCGCGAGATCGAGATGGCCCGGACGTCATCATCACATAATTCATCCTCCGTTGCACGGCTGTTGGTCCGGTCTCAGCATTGCCAAACAGTTCGGCCCGGCCGCCCATATCCAACTAAAACACCGGCCTCCAGCTGCTGATCGAAGCCGACCAGGTCAAAATAGAGATGAAAGGATGCGTGAAATGGGCCGAATGGGCCGGTGTCCACGGCAGCGGGCGGTGCCGGCAGCGCCAGCTGCCGCCCCGATGGCTCCCGGGTGCTGCCAGGGGTCAGGACCCCAACTCAAGATGGCGGTTGTCGCCGGCCGGAGAGGCGCCGGCGACGGCGACAGCGACGGCGTTTGTTTTCGCGGCGTTTAATGGGAGAAGACGCTGACGACGACCCAGAAAACATGCCGTCAGTGAAAATAAGCAGAGCGAAGGTGACGGCCCCTGCGGGACACAACAGGTCGGCGCCGGGCGAAGAAGAGAGAGGGGGGGAGAGAGGGGGGGAGAGAGAGGGGGGAGAGGGGGAGAGAGTGAGGAGAGAGAGAGGAGGGAGAGAGAGAGGGAGAGCGAGGGAAGAGAGAGGGGAAGAGAGAGAGAGAGGAGAGAGGAGAGAGGAGGGGGGAGATAAGGAGAGGAGGGGGGATAGAGAGAGATGGTAGAGAGAGCGAGGAGAGAGGAGAGAGGAGAGAAGAGAGAAGAGAGAAGAGAGAGAGAGAGAGAAGAGAGAAAGGAGAGGAGAGAGGAGATGAGAGAGAGAGAAATGAGAGAGAGAGAGAGAGGAGATGGGAGAAGAGAGAGAAGAGAGAGGAGGGGGGGGGAGAGAGGAAGAGCAAGGGAGAGAACCGGCACGGGCCGGCCAAGCCGTCGACGCTTAACATCGAGGGCCGTGGTGTCAACAAGACGGACAGGCTCGCGTCAGTACGGCAGAGAGCGGTCTGCTCCACTCACGTCAGTCTGGCAGAGAGCGGTCTGACCCATTCGCGTCAGTCTGGCAGAGGGCGGTCTGGCCCACTCACGTCAGTCTGGCAGAGAGTAGTCTGACCCACTCACGTCAGTCTGGCAAGGGGTAGTCTGACCCACTCACGTCAGTCTGGCAAGGGGTAGCCTGATTCACTCGCGTCAGTCTGGCAAGGGGTAGCCTGATTCACTCGCGTCAGTCAGACAGGGAGCAGCTCGCCCTACTCACGGCAGATGATATATTTGCAGATCATGGCATAAACTGCCAGCCAGGCCGGCCTTTGCTAAAAGCTTTTGGGAAGTGGTTGCTGAGGCCAAATGGACGCTGTGTTTGACCTTTCCCAAATACCGTCAAATAAAGCACGCAAAGCACCCAACTCACGTAAAAGATGGCGCTAAGCCGCATTGCATTCAACGGCTTAAGACGAATTAAGATGTAATTATTTGCATCTGGAGATGCTTGCACACCGCACGAGAACTTGAGTTGAGAGCGTGCGGGCATAGTAATGAGCGTGTTTGCTTACAGCAGTTCATTTTATCGCCCAGAGAGTAAATAGGCCCTGTCCGCGGCGCCGGGACGGGGGCCGCGAGATGTGGACGCATCGCTACATGCTAATTCTCCCCCAGCACGCTGTTTGGGGGTAGGAGACGACGAGCTGTGCGTCGTCGCCTTCCAGACATTCACTGGGCAGCAATGCTTTGACCAGCCAGTCGAGGTCGTTCCGGAGTAGAATCTACCCCAAACAGCAGGTGTTGGGCAGCGGGTCGGGCCGGACGCCCGCCGGACACGGCTTGGCCGTGTCCGCCCAGGACAACGTACCCCGGCGTGTCCGGCTGTCCGGCCGGGCGGCGCCGCCGCCGGCTGTCCGCCGCCCCTCCGTCCTTGGCCGCGGGCAGCGCCATCTGTCTCCGTCAGCGCCGGGCCGCCGCTGAGAGGCGCCGCCCCCCCCCCCCCCCAAACAGCGCGCGGCGAGAGAATTAACACGTCGCGATGCGTCCACGTCCCGCGGCCCCCGCCCCGGCGCCGCGGACAGGGCCTATTTACGGCCAGCGAGGGACGGCCTCTTCCCGGCGCACGGCGGGCGGCCAACTTGACCACGCAAATAGCGACGCCGCCGATCCTCTCGGCGCATAATGGCGCCGGCCGTATTTTGCGCACGGCGTGTTGGCCGATTGGGCGCAAGCCTTTCATCGTCAGATCTGAATAACACCTGCGCCGGAGCCGAGAGCAAGAGGCGCGCTGGAAGCCATTGTCGCCGGCGGAAGGCGCCCGTCGCGGTGCCTTTGCGAACCGAAAACAGCCCCGCCAAAGGGGCGCCGACGGGCCCAGGCAGTTTCCCAGGCCGGCGGGCGATGTGTCATCGCGTGGGCACGCGGCCTGAGGACCACATGAAGTGGGAGCGTGGCCATCAAGCGCTGTGTCACGCGTTTCTGGAGGTCTCCCTTTGCCCCCCCCCCCCTCCTGGTGGGATGTTTTGAAGTTATTTCGGACTTCACAGGCGCATCGGCAACGTCTGTCCTCACGCACAATACGCCGCGTCTTTTCGCTCCTGGAACTTGGCAAGCGGGCGGCCGACGGCTGCGCGCAGCACCTGAGTTCCGGGAAGCACCGGGAGCGGCCGGAGCCGACTGCCATGGCCACGCATCATCCGCCCTCGCAGCGAGACGACCCCCGACCCCGGTGGCGCTCCAGGACCGTCGGCCCGCCGGCCGGTGCCAGCCGCCGACCCACTGACAGCGGCCGTCGTCCGGCCCCGCCCGGCTGATGACGAACGACGCGGCGCCCGCGGCGTCCGCGGAACGGCCCGCGGTGTCCGCGACGTCTGCGGCGCTCGGGCCGGCGCCGGCCCGGCTCCGAGACCCGGGACTGGGCAAGGGGGAGGAGGCCTATCCTAGCCGGCAAAACCAGCAGCAAGCGACGCGCCGGCCGAGCGCCGCGCGTCGCGGCAAAATAAATAATCTGGCGTCGGTGGCTGCAGCGCCGGGCGCCGCTCAGCCGCCGCCACCCCCACCCCCCTTCCCCCCGAAAGACGAGCCGCGCGCCCGCTCCCGGGCGCACATGGGGTGCACATGGCGGGCCGAAATAGCGGCGGCCGCCTCCCGCGACCCGACATCCGTCACCGCGCCGCCGGCGACAAAGCGCAGCATTTCCGGCGGGGTGGCGGCGGCGGCGGCGGCGGCGGCGGCGGCGGCGGCTCAGCTTGTCACCGGTGGGCTGTCGATGCGCTTGGGGCGGCCGTAATGTGCGTCCTGTTGTCTCCCGGTGTCTCACTGTGCCTCCCTGTCCTATCCCGGTGTCGCTGCCGCATCACAGGGGTCGCCGGGCCGTCGGCCTGCGGCGTCTGGCGCCGACACCGCCCTCGGTGCGGACAGTGTCGGGCGCCGACAGGGCGTCTCCTGCAGAGCGGCAGCTGCCGACCGGCGGCACCTGTCCACCCCGCCGCTCGGGCGTGTCCGGACGGAGACGGACGGGACGCGGCGGGCCGACAGACGGACGGACAGACGGGTGGAGACAGTGCGCTCGGGCCGCGTGCAGCCCACTGGCCGAGATCGAGCACCACCCGACCCGTCTAATGGCTGCGCCGGCCCCTGACACGGCCGCCGGACATCTGGCCGCCAGATAACCGCAGCATTCCGCCAAAATTCCGCCAAAAATAGCCCCGCGAACAATTGACGCCAGCGGCGCCTCGCAGTTCGCGCGGTGACGTCTTCAGCCGGGCTGCGCCGAAACTTCACCCCGATTTCGACTCGCCTGTTACACGACAGTGAAAGATAATGTGCCCCTGAGTGGATCAGAAATCAATTAGGTCGAGTTTCTTATCGCTCCTTTTAGATAATGCCCCATTTGGGTGGAAATGGGTGTTTCCAACGAGGGAAAAACGGGGCCGCCGTGTGGTGCGGACCACCCTGGACCGCTCGCGTAAAAACGGCACCTCCCACGGCAGCCCCACGCTGTCTAAGACAATATTTTTACAGCCGATCGTGCTCAGCCCCGGCCCTGTTCCCCTGACTGGTGTCTCCAGACCACAGGCGGCCGGGCCGGGCCGGCTGGCTCGGTCGCGAGCGAGGCGCCTAGCCGGCACCAGAGCGGCCGCCGGCCGGTGCGCCGGTGACACTGCCGTCCGTTCGCGCCAGCCGACCGGCTCGCCACCTCTGCCAGACACCGTCCTCTGGCTGTGTGCACACGGCCACGTCAGCGCGTAACGCTAACTGGGCTTTTGAGCGGCGTGCTCTGTCGGCGGCAGCGGCCGGCGTAGCCGCGCTGTGACCGGGTCGGGGCCCGCCCCGGTCCGGTCCGGTCCGGTCCGGTCCGGTTCGCCCGGACGGACCGGACCTCCGACGGGCCCCGCCCAGTCCGCACGCGGCCGTCCGCGCGGCCGGCGCGGTACCCGGCGCGTCCTGACGCACCGCCCGCCCTCGGGGGCCTGCTGCCCGTGCCGGAGCCGCGCAGAGCAGCCAGCCCTTCCGCTATCGGGCCATCAACCGGTAATAACTCATTAGCGAGCCTGCAATCGGCTTCGTTACGTGGCGACGGTGCAAATATTTACCGACGCGACGTGCAACTGGCGCCGGGAGGCGCGGCCAGCGCCGCCGCTGCCGTGTCAGGCGGCCAGCGCCGTGTCAGGCCGGCCGCCGCCGTGTCAGGCGGCTGCCGCCGCGTCAGGCCGGCCGCCGCCGTGTCAGGCGGTCAGGACCGTGCCAGGCCGCGCGCCGTGTCAGGCGGCCGCCGCCGTGTCAGGCCAGCTGCCGTGTCGGGCGGTCGCCGCCGTGTCAGGCCGGCCGCCGCCGTGTCAGGCCGCGCCGGCTCGGCGCTCGGCACTCACCCAGCGGCGATGTGCGAGTGCAGGTGAAAGCGAGCCGGGTCCCAGAGGAGGCGCGGGTCATGCGCCAGGCCGCGCGCCGGTTCCGTCAGCGGAGAGTGGAACGCTGCGAACGCTGATGGGAGCTGCGTTGGCAGGCCTGCAACAGACGGCGGCGCCAGTCAGTCGGCGGCCGTGGCAGAGCCGAACGAGGCAGCGGCAGCACGAGATTCAACGCAAAGTCAGCACAGGCCAGCTCAGGTCGGCACAGGGCGGCACAGGTCAGCAGAGGCCAGCACAGGGTAGAGGTCACTGGTCAGCATGCCGCTGACTACAGAGGGTACAAGAGGTCAGCGCAGAGTTAGCAACAGGCCATCACAGCTGACTCGATCACTGCCAATGCACCTTCCCTCCCACAAAAAGAGACCCGACCAAGACACACCAGGACCAGTTGTGTGGGTCAGTCAAGAGAAACAAATTCTTGAGACAGGTCTAACCAGACACTGGCAATGACACAAACGAAGCTTGGCAGCTGACCACTAATTCTACACGGTGGTGGCAACCATGCGTGGGCCGGCTCAGCAGGGGGACACGATCGTCGAAAACGGCGACCTGAACCAGCCCTGTCGGCTCCGACGTCGCCCGTGCGCCCGGGTCAGCCAGGTGACGCCGAGTCAGACGAAACACGCCCCGTGCCCGGGGCCCCGGCCAGCTGTTCGGTCGGGAGACAGCGGGCCGCCCCTGCCCTCGCTCATTAGCCGTATTTCAGCGGCGTTCGCGTGACGAGCCGGCAGACGTAATGTCGTCCAATTAAAACACAGCACGCCGCATCTGCCGGCCGCGCTATCCGGCCGCGATCAAGACGTCGGCCGCGACCTGACGACGGGTACGGCTGCCGACCGCCGCCGCACCCGCCGACCTGACGACGGGTACAGCTGCCGACCGCCGCCGCGCCCGCCGACCTGACGACGGGTACAGCTGCCGACCGCCGCCGCACCCGCCGGAGAGTCAGCCGGCCCTGCCGCCCGGGGCGGGACCGACCCCACGGGACGGGGTGGGGAAGATCTGGCTGAGGGAGGGGGGGGGGGCAGAGTGAGATCGGGTGACCCGGGAGGCGGGACCGAGGAGCTGACCCGGGAGAGCAGGGAGGGGGCTGATCCGGGGGCAGGACGGGGACAGAGCATGAGGGGGCGGGGGCAAAGAGGACAGATTCGGCACCAGGGAAGGCGAGGTAGAGAGCATGGGGTCAGGGGGGGCTGACCCCAGAGCGTCGCCCTCTGACGGCAGGACGAGGAGGCTGAAGCCGGCCACCGCCGAGCCCGGCTATAAGGCTCTGGGTGCCACCTCCGACCTCTGACCATTGGGCAACCAGGCCGCCGCGTCAGGCGCACACGCGCCGGGTAACCAGCTGTGGAGACGATCCGGTATCTCGACGCGTTCAACATGTATCCATGATAATCCTGTGAACACTGATAATCCTGTGAACAATAAATGCATCCCACCGCCAGGCACTCCAGATTCCCCTAACAACACACGAGAGGCGAGCCGACGCGGCCGGTGCGGCCTTGACTCCTGTTCATCTTTCCACACATCCGACACTGGCAAATCCTCTCCATTAGTCGTGCTTTGCGGCATGACGCTGCACAGCGTGTTGGCACATGTGGGTTCGAAACAGCCAGAACTTTAGCCGCCCGACAAGGCTTCGTCAGAAGTAGAAATGTACGGTAGAACTAGGCTGTTGTGAGTTTTTGTCCTTTGTCGTAATGCTGAAACATACCGGTGTTTTGAGGGAATTAGTCAACGCCCGAAGACATGTCATCAGCAAACGAGCAGCTGGCGCTAGTTTTGCTTCTCGCCATGGCATACAAAAACCAGATCGATTTTTAAAAAAACAATATGCATCGCAGAATATAACATACTAACAGAATGCAATATGCATCACAGAATACCATATGCTTTGTTGTTGTTCATTGGAGTTTATGGGCGCGCCGACTGCGGTGGTCATTTGACGCCCATAACGAGTTTTGTTTTACCTATCTAATGAGTCGCATAAATGGCCATAAGTTGATGTGTTTCAGAAACAAAAAGATCTCTTGACATTCCAGAAATTGTGAGTTGTCTCCTACCATGCCACAGAGGGTAAGGGGCAAGTCATGCTGTCTGAAGTAACGTTGGCGTTCTTCCAGGAGGCGCGGACAAGGTATAAGGATATGGCGAACGGTAAGGACAGCTCCACAATACCATATGCATCACAGAATAGAATATACATGGCGGAATATAATATGCATACCAGATTGCTAGCGACACGATCAAATGAGGAAAACACGCATACCTTCAAGCCAACCTATCACTAAGAAATCGACACCGTGGTTGACAGGACGTGAGTCCTTATAGAGCCAGTAAGAGACCCCAGATTGCACATAAATGGCATGGCAGTTGCATGCGTCCGCCGGTTGTAACCTCGCTGGTCAGGCTGGCGCAGCGTCAGACCAGTTTCCAGATGTGCTCTGATACGGCCAGAACGCCGGAGCCGTGCGCCGCCTGGAGCCGCCTTCTCGCCGCGCTTACAAACAGAACATTTCTCGAAACTCGCCGCTTGTATCCATGGCGGTCCGCGGCGGGTTTCTTGTCGTCCAGCGCCTCTCACCACCATTCTGAGGCGGGTTTTCTGCCGTCCAGCGCCTCTCGCCACCATTCTGAGGTGGGTTTCCTGCCGTCCAGCGCCTCTCGCCACCATTCTGAGGCGGGTTTCCTGCCGTCCAGCGCCTCTTGCCACCATTCTGAGGCGGGTTTCCTGCCGTCCAGCGCCTCTCACCACCATTCTGAGGCGGGCTTCTTGCCGTCCAGCGCCCCTCGTCACCATTCTGAGGCGGGTTTCTTGCCGTCCAGCGCCTCTCACCACCATTCTGAGACGGGTTTCCTGCCGTCCAGCGCCTCTCACCACCATTCTGAGGCGGGTTTCCTGCCGTCCAGCGCCTCTCACCACCATTCTGAGGCGGGTTTTCTGCCGTCCAGCGCCTCTCACTACCTTTCTGAGCTCCCAACGCTAACGAGACAACTAGCGGGACACGTGCCGCTGCTCCGGCAGAGGTTTGCCACAACTTTCCTACCGCGGCGGAAAACGAAGCCGCTGGAGCCGCCTCTCACGTCAGGTGTCATGTCATATTAGCATATTATAAACCCCAGGTGTAATATCAGACGTTTCCTATACAACAGGTGTTATGTGATCGGCACAACGTCACAAGATGTGTCGGTCCACCGTCGGAACGCCGCCGGCCGTGCACCAATGGCGGCCGGCCGCCGACGGCGTCCCCGCCCGCCGACCAATGGCGTGACGACGGGGGCGCATTACGGCCGGCGGCGGACAGCAGCACGACAGTCCGGCTCGCCGGCACGTCAAACATTCGCGCCGGTCGGGCGAAACGAACAGCCCCTCCGTCAGCGAGACTGAGCAGTCGCGGCCCGACGGTCCCAGCAGCATCCGCGCTGACTTCACCACGTCAAGCTCACACCATTGTTACGCCTGAGACGCCATCGGTTCGCGGAGAGCTGTGGCCCGACGAAGCAAGAGCCGCGGACACCGTGCGGTTACACAGCACGACTCCCGCCCCCCCCCCCCCCCCCGCCCAAGCCCACGGGGCTCGATCCCAGCCCAGCGCCGGTGCTGCCCGTTCCAAAGCCGTCAGGCCCAGCAGTCGTCAGAGGCGGGCGAACCCGGGGTGAACGAGCTGAGTGTATACGCGACGCCCAGCTGAATCCGGCTGGGACGCCGCGTTATTGGACTCCACTACTTCCTGCAGCACTGTCTGGCCGTCCCCTTTCGGGCGCTGCTCTGGTTATGTGAGCACCACTGCAGTGCTGGACTGCAGTGCAGGCAGGCCCGCCTGCAGTATTGGAACGCCGCTGTCCAGACAGCAGACGGACTGGGCTGTTCCCATCTGTAGTGGAATGGTACTGAGCTGACCGTGTGCGGAGCGCTGCCCCTGCCCTGACCGTCTCTGCCCGGTGCCCGGCTGCCGTGACGTCATGGTCCCCCTGGCACCATGCACAGCTCAGACTTCTCATAATCGCCCATGCAGGCGACGACATCGTTTTCCGCCACCGAACATTGTTCGCCATTTCTTACGCGCCGCCTTTTTCAGCCACTCCAAATGTGCCGTCACTTGCAAGTGACAATGCATTTATCGTTTCGGCCAGGTGCCTGTTCTAATGACAATGTGGCCATCACCTAAACAGATATGCAGGCCTGGCTCAGCGGACGCTGACCAAGCGCCGTCCCGCACGCATCTGACAACATAACCCGCTGTTCATTCGGCAGTCGGACGCGGGACAGAGCCCTGCACGTCGCATGGCTGGGACAGGCTTCCCGTTTTTTTTCTGATTTTGCAGACGTTTTACAATGAGATCTAGACCCCACTCAGTGGCAAATTGACAGGTCTAGGTACTGTTCGCATGGAGCGGCCCGGTTGTTCATAAATTGAGAACTTTCTGATGATGTTTATCAGATGATGTTTAACACTGCTTGAATATGCAGATATGTTCGGTGTCATATTACGTTCGGTTGGTTTGTTTGCTTGATATCTTGGTTTAATTTCCCCCTGAAACGTTCCACATCATGCATGGCATGTCAAGTGGGTGGTGATGCCAGTGTTTTGGCGCCGCTATACACTGTCTCGCGGCAACTCCAGGTCTGGCAAAGCCAGAGCTTTGTGAGCTACGTGGAAACGATGGCCTTTTCAGTGCACTGAATGCCGGCGCCAATGCCCATAAACCTAGGCCTTGCCGGCCCTAAACCGGTGCTCACGAATCTAGGTTGGTGCTGGTGCGATGTTGTTATCATGGGTCAAGAAAATATTGCATCTTTAGTGGGGATCGGATACCGCCACATGGAAAATGAGAACTGGTTTTCACAAATCACTCTTTTTGTACCATAAACTGGCGAAAAACACACAAGGTGAAATTGCTTTTATCGCATATTTTGTTCGGACAGTTGCATACCGCTGTGAACACTATGAAATCCGATGTTGCTTATAACTCGTGGTCTCACGTCGTAACTCACGTCTCTCGTTATTGTAGCAACTTTCATGCACTTGCCAAAAGTATTCTGAAGCCGTTAGTTGGCGTGATCTGCTGTGAGCCAGACGATGTCACAGCTTTACC